CATACCATAAAATGATAAATCTTCAGGGCCGAGCCCGTGGCGCACTCGGGAGAGTGCGGCGCTGGGAGCACAGCAGTGATCCTGCCGCGGGTTCGGATCCTATATAGGGATGACCTATATAGGGATGGCTCACTGGCTGAGCGCAGTGCGGCCGGTCTCAAAAAGGACAAAAAAATAAATAAAATAAAATAAAATAAAATCTTTAAAAAAAAAGATAAATCTTCAGCTCTCTGACTTAGAAGGTATTTTTTAATCAAATAAATAATGGGTGCCTTCCATAAACTTAATGCATGTTGGCAAAAAGTCCATAGAGGGGATTGATTAACATCAAAACATTTCACATTCTTTTGCTTTTCTCTTGCAACAAACAACGTCTTAATTAAAATAGTGAAAATGGAGTTACAGTGAATTTCAGAACATGAAATCTGGTCTTTATCTGAGGTTCTCCCTCTGAACACCATCACAGACTGTTTCGCAACTCTGCAAGCTCCCACTGAGGAAGAGCTCGAGAGTGATGAAACCTTGCCCTTGAGAGAATACAAGAAAGTGCTTGGGGAATCCCAGACCACAATTGCCAGGTGCGTCATATGGAAACGGTCACCGAGGTAATCATATCAACCTTAGCCACACGGCAGCCTGCAAAGGCTGCTTGTCAGGACCTCGTTCTGGAAATAACTTTTCTTTATCAATAACCCCAGACCCCTGCAGAACTCTCACACCAGGGATGCTGGTCCGAGGGTGGCTCGCCCAGTGAAGCAGAGCCTGAAAAATTGGTCCTTGATCTATGGTGTGCTGTAGCCTTTTCAAAATAGAATTTTCTGACTGAAAGAGACTTTGGCAGTCATCTAATCTGAGACCTTTAGAGATAAGGAAACTGTGGAGAAGGCTGTTTAATAGAAGGTTAAACCAACATTTAGTTCCCCAGTTCTTTTAATCCAGTATCCTGACTTCTAACTTTCTTGTTGGAAAGCTTAAATTATAATTTATATACACATGAAGAGGATTTCTTGACACATTTCACTTACTTATAATTCAGGTAAGATGCCGGAATGAGACAGCCTCAGAGGTATCATATGGAATGTGTTGTGTTTGAACGTATAGCTGATACGTTGACCCAGCCGGACTCATGGCTATCATCTGAAAACAGCTTTATTCTCTTCTATCATGCCTGTTCAATCCTGTTCTGTGAGGCTAGTTGTTTTTCTGCCCCTTGGATGAATGAATGCATAGGTCCTATGACTTTCTGGGTCACTCTCAAATAATAAAAAGGCCCCTGATTATTTTTAGGCAAAAATACAGTCTTATTTCAGTAATTAATATGTCTAGAGCAGTGTATAATAAAAAAGCTCCACACTTCGGTGAGCATGGGGGTAATGGTAGATTTTCTGTGTATTTCTTTCACCTGGCGCTTCTCCCCTCCTCCCACCCTCACTAGGCTGCCTGGCTCCACCAGGATTCAAATGGGAGAAGAGAGAGCCAAGGAGGCCAAAAGGTTTTGGACGGCTCTAACTACCACGGATTTCTCTGGCCACGGAAGATGTTTCCTGCTGAAGTTTTGTCTCATGAGCTCTCTTACAGCTTTGTCAGAACCACACTCACCACCGCTGCCCTGCTGGGGAGTCTCTCATCACTTATTCATTCCTATGGCGTAGGCAAGTTCATTTTGCCTCTGACTGGTTGCTTTAGATTCTTCCTCCAGGCCCTGAGCTTCTTTCCGCTTAGTCTGTTTGCCTTCCCAACCAGTCCTCTTGGGTGGAATCAAAGTCGGTCTCACACTGTGTCACTTTCGTAGACTTTTCTTCCTTGGGAGTAAGTTACAGTCCCTACCGGATGTTCAGGCCACTTTGGCTAACTCTGGTCCTTTAGGTTTCTCAGGTATGAGCCAGACACCAGTTCATGGAGTTCCCCAAATTGCAGGGGACATATATGGAGCTCTCTGAGCGGTCTGCTTGAGGTCCCTCTCACCAGAAATAAGGAGAGAGGAAAGCATTCTTCACCCTCCCCCGGGTAGGTGCAGAGGAGATGCCTCTTAGAACACTGATGACTTCTACAGAAACCCTTCTCTAATCCACAGCAAACTGCTCAGCCTCGCCTTCAACCCTTTTATACTTTAAGGTAAGAGAGAGGTTAAGGAACACTCCTTTGCAAGTCCTGCTTGTTGATCCAGCACCTTGTTTGGAATGTCAGAGTGGTTGACAACTGTTATGTGGTGCCTCTGTCAAAATGGGAATAAAATAATAGTTCCCATTCAACATACCAAATGTATATTCATTCTTTCCAATTGCCCCTATAAGGTTTTCTTCAATAGACAGATTTTGGTAAAGATCAAATGCCGTTTCAATGAACTTTGTATGGTTTTGCTGTTTATCAGAGACTACTTGAATTACTGGTTGTTGGATAAGCGTTGGCAATAACTTCGTTATACAGAGATTTTTATTATAATGGGATACACTGCAATTTGACCAGCAGCAGGGATTTCCAGAATCCTTGGGAGTGTTGTCTACGAGCTGTGTTTCTCAAGTCTGTTTTATCAAATGAATAAGGGAAGTGATTTGAATTGTAAACAACAACGACAGCAAATTGGCTACCCAAGAGGAAGGAAATGAGTAAGACTATAGAATTGCTTTGTAATTCACTACAGAACACTTCAGTTCTGTAGCTAACACTTTCAGTTAGCTAACAAATTTACTTATATCAGAAAAACCACCACCCCTACTCAGATGGATGGATGCTTGTGCTGTTCACCAGAGTGAAGTCCGCAGATTTGCAAAGTAACATGATGTCCAAATCATGATGCCTCATTGTGGTCCTATAGAAGGATGATGTCGTTGAGTCTTGCTTGCCGTCCTACCCCACAGTTTGTGACTGGCATCTATCTCTGAGCCTTAAGCCCTATTTCTTCCACACTCAGTCTCTAACTCTGTGCTTGGCCCTTTCCTCACAGCCTGAAGCATTTTGGAACACTATTGAGAGGTTGTTTAAAGGTACAGAATGAATTTTAATATGCATTATTTAAAGACAATACTTTCTGGCAAAGTATTTCGATCTTACACCCACATGTGATTTAAAATATCTAAGGTCAGGGCCGGCCCAGTGGCGCACTGCTACAGTGCGCCGCTTGGGAGCGCGGCGGCGCTCCCGCCGAGGGTTCGGATCCCACATACAGACCGGTTCCCGCTCACTGGCTGAGCGAGGTGCGGGCGCAGCACCGAGGGTTGCGATCCCGTTGCCGGACACGAAAAAAGACAAAAAAAATAAAATAAAATATCTAAGGTCATACTGAGTATAATGGGTGGGACACTAAGACTGATAAAAGAAAGACAAAAGCACTGATGAGCTTATGTTTAGTTTGTCGTCATTTCTCTCGAAGTTCCACTAGAACTCTGGTGAACACTAACACAGTCTGCTTATAGCAACCAACTCTCCTTCATGGCCAGCACTTTAACTTACTGTTTCATCTTTTAATATCACTATCAGGGCTGTAATTCATTTCACTCTTTGGGTTTATTTGGATGGACATCTTGGAGATGAAAGTGGCAGTGATATAGTGCTGCTGACAAACGGCACTGAGCCTGCTATCCTCACAAACTCCAGTTGGTTTCTTAAGGAAAAGCAGGCCTGGCTCTAAGTGAAAATGAAAATGTTCAGATAAATTAAACATGGTGCAAGGATTCTCAATCCTTCCACAGAGAAAAGGAAAAGTTAGGGTGTTTTACAAATTAGGGACCCTATTCCCAAGAAAAGTAGTAACTCAGTCATGGGCATATCAAAATTACCCGTGGTTCTTTGTGAAAATACCCACGTCCTGGCTCTACCCTCTGCTGCAACCTGGCTCTGACTCAGGGAGTCTGAGGTGGACCTGGGCATTTCTATCTTTTTAAATCCCCCACTGGCAGAGTTGAGAGGGGCCACTAATTCTGTGGATGTATGTAAAAGTTTTCAAAGACTGAACTGGAAGGAGGTCTAGCTAAAGAGCTGTTTGAATTGTGGCAGAGATAAATGAATGGCACAGGAGACAGGTAGTGGGGGTATCATCAGAGATGGGGTTCATGGATGGGCCTCAAGCACTTTTTGACTTTGGGGGAGTCATAGACCACTTTGAGAGTGTGATAAAAGAGACAGTCACCCTCCTCAGAAGAATACACATAGGCTAACCCCCACAAACTTTACCACACACTTTTGGGATATTCTAGACTAGGGTTAAGTTTTTATTTTTGTTGTTTTAATTGGGTGGCTAACAGTCCCATTCATTACGGAACAGGCCAGATCCCTGGCCTCAAGAAGCTTACAGTCCTGTAGCCAGGAGTAAGCAGTAGCAAGAAATCAATAAACACATACATAGACAATAATCACAGGAGTTGTGGAGGAAGGGAGAGTTCTGGAAATGAATGTAGAATTGGCGATTTTGAATAGGTTGAATTAGAGAAGCTTCATCGAAACGTTACATTGAGAGGCAATAGTTTAAGGGAGACAGGTGTGGAAGGGAAACGCCCAAAAGAATGGAGGTCAAACTGACCAGGCAGGTTGATAAGGGAAGGCCTACCGTGGGTGGCCAGGAAGGCTGCGTTCGGAACATATGTCAACGATGAGCGAGCGATAAAATGGCACTGACCCACCCTGCTGCTAGGGGTCATTGACACAGTGCCACTGTGCCACGGTGCCCCATGGTGAGTTGGGGTCTGGGGTGGGGAAGCTATTAAAAATACTGATGAACATAGTTTTATGACGGAGGAGACACTAGGAGGAAAAGAGCAAGCTGGCCCCGGGAGGGCAGCCTTGGGGTCCGCCGTCCATCGCCAGGGTCAGAAGTTGGCCCTGGGTTCGTTCAACACCATGAGAGAAAACCGCGGGACAGCGCGGGGTGACGGAGAACTACATTCAGCCAGTGGGCATGAAGATGAATTTTAGCCGCTGTGCGCAAAACCCTAGGTGCGTGGACAGAAGGGAGCCCGCCAGAAGGTGACAACAGGTCAGGAATAAATCACCACCAAGCGGAGGATCCCAGATTCCGTCCTCCCTTTGTTGGGTGAAGAGCGCCAGGCAAAGGCGTTCACCAAGGCTGTGGAAGGAAGCGGCTCGACCGTGCACACCCGGCTCCGGTCCTGGTGACTATGATGGGGCCCCGGGGGTGGCAGAAGCCCGAGGCCCGCGGGGTTCAGCTCTCCCTGGGAGCCCCGCAGCGGGGACCCCAGAATAAGTCTTTAACTTACTGTTTCATC